AGCAGTAGTAGTAGTAGTAGTAGTAGTAGTAGTAGTAGTGGTAGTGGCAGAAGTGGCAGTAGTAGTAGTAGTAGTAGTAGTAGTAGTGGTAGTGGTAGTAGTAGTAGTAGTAGTAGTCGAAGTAGTAGTAGCAGTAGTAGTAGTAGTAGCAGCAGCAGCAACAGCCGCAGTAGGAGTAGAAGCCGGAGTAGAGGTGGTGGTCGCAGGTACTAGCAGGACTAGCTGCAGGAGTAGCAGTCTTCGTAGTCGTGGTAGTGCTGGCAGTGAGAGGGGTACTTACAGCAGTAGTGGTCGTGGTTAGTTGTGGCTAGTCGCGCTTGTCGTGGTCGCAGTGGTAGTAGTCGTCGTCGTTGCAGTCGTGGTCGTCGTCGTCCTCGTCATCGTCGTACTGCCACTCCTTCTACCCCTTATCCTACCTTCGGCAAAGGACAGCGGAAAACAAGGAACGAGAGGTGGCCGTGATAGGTGACGCCGAGTGACATGTCACGCCACTTTGCGAGAGCAGGTTATTGCCTTAGCGACGACTTGTTGGTGCGGTGGTCGCCCTTATGACGAATTGTTCGTGCCGGGAAACATCGTGACTTTCAGAGAACTGTGCTGCCCTGAGGCCTGATTTTCCTGTTGGACTGCTTGCTTTGCGAAACATTGAGCTGAGCCAGTATCACCAGGGAGTCTGGTCGAATCCATGTTGTCGGTAGTCGTGGACCGGAGTACTCGATTCCCCCCAGTGGACCTTCTGAACTGCCATGTGGGAGCCTATTAAATTCCTCCTCCTCCTCCTGCTGCTGCTGCGGCACTGCTGGTGCTACTGTTTGTACAATGTACACTAGCCACCGCCACGAGGACCGTAAATTCGGTCTCGTTCTACTGCTTTTGCTGCCGATACCATATGATGCACCGACACTTTGAATGACGGTGCAGGCGAAGTTCAAGCTGCGCCTCCTCAACAATTCGGACCGTTGGAAGACTGATGCCCAGGCTTGCTGGACTTGGTCGTTAGCTTCTCGATCTGGTACAATCGGGGTTGGGCTCCATGGCAATCCCAGAGTTGGTGGCAGTTGTTGATGTCCCTGTTGTCTTTAGATGTCTTGGAACAGCGGCGGCAGTTGCATCCATGCGCCCAGCTGAATCGAGCTTCGAACCAGCTTACTGTAGTTTCCGGTGAGTTTCAGATGCGGATCCGAATGACGTACTTCGATAAACGACAACCAAATTCGGCAATCAGAACCATAAAGTTTCGTGTGCTCTTAGCAGCAGCAGCTAAGTAGCAACCTCCGCTTTCGACTTTGGCCTTGTACAGAGCACGTGTAGTTCAGAAGCCAGAATCGGTGCTGCCAGGCATGTCGAGAATCGTCGCACTCTTAGCCCCAGCCTGTAGACCACCTCCAGGATTAAGAGTTTAAGAATCTCGATACCCGCGGTTGACGGGACTCTCGCTTTGTCTCACGGCCCGTTGCGATGGCAGATGCGAGCCTGAGGGTTTGCTGACACCTGGCGGCAAACAAGGGACGCTTGGGGAGATTTGCCTGTACCCAACCCCTAAATGATAATCTCAGTTGTGCACAACACCTTGTACGACCTATTCGGAACACGTGTCCCACTCTGCAGCCTTTTGTGGCAGGTTCCGACTATACTTGGAATCAGAGAACTCCCGAATGTATGGTGCACGTTGCCAAGCTCCACCCCGACTCATTGCGTCAGATTTCTAGACCTTCACGACTCCAGAATCAATGCGGTTTGCTAAGCTTTGTCTTGTCCTTCTTCCCGCAGAGTCACATGGGCATTATTCTGTCAGCTCCTTTCAACTCGTATTAGCATCGATTTTCAATACCCGCGGTGCTTCCCATCTCGTGCCTTCCTGAGGCTTCAACGTTCTGGCGCCTTCAGCAAGGATTTGCGCCCCACTGGACCGGTGGCCCTGGAAGGCATCTTCCTTATGGAGCTTGCGGGGGGTTCGAATTTCCGATCAGGGATGTACAGGGCGCCCGGGAAAGAGAGGGAGTCAGTGAACCCGGGATCTCCGGTCAACCGTTGCACCGCCGCGGGACAAGACTCGATAGAAACTATTGCTGAAATTGTTCCCTTGTGGTCCTTATATAGTTACACTAGAATGCACTTTTAAACCCTGTCCTACATTTACGCCACTAAACTACCATCACCATCGTTTCTGAAGTCCTTCAGTCGCTTGCTGCTCAGACAGGAGAGGCACATAGCCATTTGTGATGCGCTCCTGACCATGAAAGCTGCCGCTGTGGTTGATGTTCAGCCTGGTAGCGTGTTGTCCTGGCACTTGAATGGTATTATTCGCCAGACCTAGTAGAATTTGCCAGCTGAGGACATCATTTGCTTGCAGGAGTTCGATTTCGCGGCCGAAACACCCGGCTTTGCGGATTTGTACCAAAGCAAGCTCGGTGATTGCTACCACTTGCAGATGAAGCAACGACACTGTGATGCAAGTTTTGGGCGCGGTACTTGGGCGCGGTGTACGATGGTACATCTTTACTCTCACAATGCTTGCTCTCGGTGCCGGCATGTCCCTGTAAGTCTTAAAAACATCACGGCATGCGGGCATTGCGCTAGAAAGCACTTCGGCTCCGAGGAACGGGCTTGAAGAACGAGGGGCTGGCCATGTTGTTTCGTCGAGAATCTTTTTCCGATGTCCAGGCCTGAGAAAGATTCGGGACAGATGAGCAATGTCCGGTGCTGTCAGGATGGAGCCTTCGCTGGCTATACTTCATGTCGGGATGTAGGTATCGAGCAATCGAGCAGTGGTTTCAGTGGTTGTGGTCAGCAGACTTTTCAGCCTGCCTACGGAGCCGCCACGGGCAACCCGACGCGCAGGTGAGCTGTCAGCATTTGGAGCCGGACTTTTGTGCTGCTTTCCCTTGTTATTGCAATGCTGCAAGGGCTGTCTCTCTTAAATTGCTGAGCTTCATTAGGTCGCGCGTGATGAGCCCGAATGTTAGCTGGTTTTCAGGGTTGCTGGCCTCGTCCGGCAACGCAGAGCAGGCCTAGGCACACTCTAGGCACTAAGACTGACCTATCGGACAATGAGTGCATGACAGCGAAGTTCAGTTGGCATCGTCTCCTCCAGCCGAGGACCGAGTTGCCATGTACGCCTGGCTGTCGCATGCGGAAACGGGCTGCAGGAACCGGGCTTGCAACCAGACGGTGAGTCCCCAAACAGAAGCATGCACACCCCGCACAATCACTTTCAGGGGCTGACATTGGCGTTAGAGTACTGCACTAGACTTGGCTTCTCTGCTTTTTGTTATTATCCTGATGCTCGTTAGTCGTCGGAAGTAGGGGAACGCAACCTGCCAAAAGGGATTCCTAAATTTGCATTTTGCCAGGATTCTTGTGGCAAACACGCACCTCACGGTGGCCCATGCTACGAATGGTGGGGGCCAAAGCTTCTGGCAAAATCCCATGATCAAAGGTTTCACATCATCTCAGATTACTGAGGGTTGATGGAGGTACTGAGGTAGTGGCACCCATGGTGCATCATCAAGTCATCATCCCCGCCTCACCGTATTTGTGCTTATTTCATTTTGTACGTGCCCATCTTGGGGGAAAGTATTGCCGCGCCGTCATCACCACACCCACTACATCATCAAACTGTTATTGGCATTCATTTTCATATTCGCCATGTTCACATTCAGCTTCATCGCCATGGTAGTCATATTCAGAAGCCTCAACCATCAACTGATTTCGATCCTCATCTTCAACATATCCGTTACCAAGCTCCTGACCACAGGCGCCATCAGCAGCACATGACCATGCTGAACAGCTGAACTCGCATCGTCGCCATCATCACCATCATCTTCATTAATTGGCGTTATCATTGTTGTCACAGTCACGACGATGGAAGCCATTTATCATCGTCTCCGCCATCGCTATCAGCGCCATGACATAATCACCATCGCCCTCGCCACGAACATAGTCGTTGCCCCACCGCCACCGCCACCACCACAGCCACCACCGCCACCGCCACCACCGCCACCGCCACCGCCACCCACACCCCCCCCACCCCCCCCCCCCCCCACCCCCACCCCCACCCCCACCCCCCCCCCCACCACCCCACCACCACCACCACCACCACCACCACCACCACCACCACCACCCCACCACCACCACCACCCCCCACCACCCCACCACCACCACCACCACCACCACCACCACCACCACCACCACCACCACCACCACCACCACCCACCACCACCACCACCACCACCACCACCACCACCACCACCACCACCACCACCACCACCACCACCACCACCACCACCCACCACCACCACCACCACCACCACCACCACCACCACCACCACCACCACCACCACCACCACCACCACCACCACCACCACCACCACCACCACCACCACCACCACCACCACCACCACCACCACCACCACCACCACCACCACCACCACCACCACCACCACCACCACCACCACCACCACCTTCACGGTCATCATCACTTCGTCTTCACCATCTTCGTCCGCATTCCTCCTGTCACTGTCCTCGTCACCGTTTACAGCATCGCCATCATCATCATCATCATCCCACTCGTCATCAAGGACGTGACAAACCAGCATTGCAGTCATAGTGAGCAGATGAACCTCTTTTGGACGCCTTCAGAAGTTGCTAGGTGACAGGTGAAAGCCAAGACTCAAAGCATTGCTCCTTTTAACAGCTGGGAATGTGAAAGTTTCACAGTACCAAAGCATACCAACAGCTCCTAAATGTCGATCCCTCTGCCCGAGCTGCGAGCGCCTAAACCTTGCAGCCTCAGTTCGCCAGTTCGAAGGAAGCGTTTGTTGTGCTGGTGAACATCAGATTTCTTTGTGGTCTCTTTGTGCACGGGCAAAAGCCTCGGTGCTTGAAGCCTACCACGCACGTCCGTCCGGCACATATCATGTGCAGTGGCCAACACGCATCTAAGGCCATGACATTCCCTTTTGCCGGCCTCGGCAGATGGAACAGGCCAGGGAAGAGCTGCCCCTGCAAGAGCGGATGAGAACCCGAGATGACTTCTGCTGCCCACTCAAGGTCGAAGTGCATGTCGTAGATAGAGCCGGTCCGTGCTTCATACGAGCATGCCACACGCTGCAAGACAGCCGAGCCCGCTTCGGAGAGGACTTCTCCAGTCGCCGCGTGTTGAGGTGCTGGACGTGATGCTGACCGCGTCTGGTGTAGATGCCTTGCTGCTGTGTGCAGAGGCTGTGTTGCAAGCAGGCATAGTGCTGTCGCTTGCGCATTTCGACATTTGTTTTTTCAGTTTGGCTGCTAGACGCACCAGATGCTTCCAGTCCTGAGACTGCTCCCTAGAACTTCCGGGACTTGCTTCACAACAATCAGCTAGAATTAGGACCCTTGCAGAGGCGGCTACCCGGCTACCCTATCCCTTGTTGGCATTCTCTCGAGGACATGAATTCAGACCACTTGGAGTTAGAGCCATCTGGGCCCTATGTGCGTCTCGGCACGATAATGGGCAGAAGCTGGAGCGAGGAACATTCCTTCACGCCTAAGTCCAAGGCTACACTAGAATAAAGGGCCTCTCATACCGTCGGGAGGATTTCGTGATTTCGTGGCATTGACTGTAAGACTCTCTCGCAACCTGCAAGGCGGTGAATCGAACAGGCTTGTTGCATACTCACTTGTCGCTTCTGTCAGCTCAAGACTGAAAGCCAGTCTTACGCAGAGTGTGAAGGAAGGCATGAATCGAAGTGGTGTCGTTGCACTCCATGCCTTCAACAGCGAGTCGCCAATGCCTGCCGCAATACTTCAGGCCTTAGTTTTGAGATGTTGCCATTTCCCGAACCCTGCACGCCCGGATCACAACATCCTAACCCTGTAGACTGCCCGGTTAAGTACCACAACATCCAGCCAAAACCCAAGCCCCAGCCCTCGTCTGGATGCGTCCGAGTTGCGAGAGCGTAAAGCCCCAGCCCTACCTTAAGCCCCTGCTCCCTCTTCTTACCGTTGGTTAGTAGGGAATGGAGGAATGGGGTACAATTATAACTACTGTTACTACCATTCTTCCATTCCCTACTAACCAGCGGCAAGCTGCTCCCTCTTGACCAGGGCGGAGCTGGTGAATCGACCAGTATCCATGGCCTTCGAGCAGCTCAGTCGGAAGCTTTCAGGTTCATACTGTGGAGCCTCAAAGCCCTGAACGAGAAGCGCTTAGGATCTAGAGTGTCGTAGCGTATATAGCCTCAAAGCCCTAAACACTTCTCATTATTGTCCGAGTGTGAGCGCCGAATTGAGTCTGAGTCGAGAAGTGTTTCGGATGAAAGAGTCGTGTCGATAGACGTCGTATAGATGTAGCGTTAGGTGGGTTCGGGCTGCCCGTGGACAAGAACAATTTTCGCTTGGTAGTTCAATATCCGCAAGACAATCTAAGACGAGAGAATCATGGCTCCTCTGAGCTGCGAGGATTATGACCATGCTTGAAGGCTTTTTCCGTTTTTGGCGAGATCTAACAGGCCGCAGATGCTGCGCACGTGCTGGACAGTCGAGACAAGGGGCTAAGATGCAGGTCGCATGATTGTGGGGTCGACTGCCTTTCGCTTCTTTGGTGAAAAGTCGTTGTGATTTTCCTTGTTGCAGTGGCTGCTGATTTAGCAATGTCTGATCCGTGCGGCATCGGGCTGCTGCACATACTGTACACTCCTCACTGGCTAACCGTAGGCAAGCAAAAGAACCGCTACCGAAGATCTTGAGGCGATGAACAGGAAGGCCGACCGTGGTTGAGGTGAAAGGTCAGTGACCCCTGAACCTACAGTCCTAAATTAAGATGCATGCTGCATGCTTGCCAAGGAAGGGCTTCCATTCCGCTCTTCATTCGTGCCATCCAGGCAAGACTTCATATCATTCCGGTGCATGCGGAGCGCCTGGTGCCTGTGATGGGCCTTCCGGGGCGAAGCTAAGTGTCATTGGTTTCAGGTGGTGTCATGAGCTTGATTTCTCGGCACACAAAGATTTCAATCTGGATACTTTAGTTGCGACTCTCTGATCGCTCGGCCAGGAATTCAACCCAGCGCCAGGGCCATTTCGCATACCTGCAGCTATGCGCAGGATGGCTGCGTGGACTACGACCCGCGGCATTAAATGTTCAGTATACTAAAGTTCAAAGTGCACTAACCAGACACCTGTGCCGAGGCTCCAAGACTAAGAGTTGCGCCGCTCAGGGTCGGCTGGCTAGATTGAACTCTAGTAGCCCTGCAATTGAATTCCTGTTTGAATTAGCTGTTCTATGCAACTGCAGCAGACTTTCATTCACTGGAGACCGATATTGGCATGTAACAACAACGTCCAGGTTTCCCTTGTGAACCTCGCATGAATGCCTTTACCACCCGGTACATGTTGCATTATGTGAGTGTATGTGTATGTGTATGTTGACTTGTATATATATATATATATATATATATATATATATATATATGTATTCATTCATACACACACACACACACATATATATATATATATATATATATGTCTAGATGAATGTATCTCTCTGTGTTTTCGTGGCATGCACGCCTGGGTTACTTCAGGAGGCTTCGCTTCTGAAGCTCCGAAGGATCATCAATGGGTGGGAGCTTCAGGCAAAGCACAGTGCTTCAGAACCTCGGAGTTTACCGGCGAAGCACATTTATCCTTCAGGCGCAATGCGAGGTATCCTCGGTTCATAGCTGCAGGCAAAGCACAAAGCACAGCGCAACAGAGCTTCAAACGATTCAATAGGTTGAACCGTCTCTTGCGAAAAACGTGAGGCGTTCCGTCTCTGTATGTATGTATGTATGTATGTATGTATGTATGTACGCATGTATGTATGTCTGCAGTATAGACGTTCATGTAACAAGCCCAGAGCGGCGCACAAGTTAGTCGCACAAATCGTACCAACCAGCACTGCGCCGAAACACTGCTAGACGGAAGGGTAAAATAAGAAGAGCATTAGTGTGCATCCAAATGCTTGTGGAGCACGCGTGATATGTATTCATATCGGCGTGTGCTGCAAGCGGCAGTGCTTGTAGCATGCAGCCATCAGGACGGGATGGCATTGTCAACACCAATAGAAATACACGTTGCTTATCCGTGCATCAGGACATCCCCACATGCGTATTTACGGTTGTATACCCAGGTGCATGCTTGTTCGACAGCAGAAACATTGGGAACACCAGCGAAGCAACACCAACACTCGGAACTACTGCCAGGAGAAAGGTCGTAATCAAAGCTTTACTTGAAGTGCTGCAACTGCTCGCTTGTGCTTGGCTTCTTAGTTAAATCTTGTCATGTCCAAGGTCTTTTTCCACTCCAGCCCGCACATGTCGTTGGCAGATGCTGCTTGGATAGAAATTTTTCAAACCTACATTGTTACATAGGTTGTTGCAGCATATGCGGTCATCCATGTCTTTGCTGAAGTGTCGTGGGGTGTTGGATGCACACTCTAGGATTGCATCTTGCGATATTCTCTGGCTGTGCTCTTCTGCAAGCTGAGCCCAGCACTGCACAGCCTGAGCTCTTGAAGCACCGGCCAAGGCCTTCTTGCATCCACAGGAGCTGGCGTTTGACACACCATGGAGCAGCCGACACTGCAAAAAAGGCTTTAGAGCTCATAGGGTTTGGGGCGCATAGGTCTAGGATAGAGGATTGCATCGGGGAGTGGTAAAACTGTTGAGTCGCCCAAGCACAAGCTTTTCAGGAGGGCCCCGATGCTTGCACCGGCACACTCCACATGCCGGCTGTACAGTTCAGGAAGCATCAGGTATTTCGGGAAAGATGATCAGCAGCTTAGACGGTTGGCGACCGGTAAACGCCCACAGCTTCAATCCTGATCAATTCTCGATGAATAGCACGAGCGCGAACCATCAGACCTCGTCTGGCAGGGTCCGAGCAAACTTGTGCAAGCCCCTCTGTTTCCTGGACCTGACCTTCCCCACCTGAGGCAAAGCACATGGCTGGGGAACAGTCCCGGGGCATGCAGACTGAGGGGCCTGTTTGGGCAAAGGCTTCTTTTGTCCATATTGGGGCCTGGGCCTCAATAATTACCAATACCAGTACTACTTTGGGGTTCCTTCTTGAAAGAATAGTATAAGATACCTCAAAACTCTTCTTCTGACTGATTCTAACTATTAGTGCCCTTGTATTTTCAGCATTACCTGGAGACTCCGGGCTCCGCAGAATCGCTTGCATCTTTGGGAGTTCTTTTTTTTCGCTTTTCATGTCTGAGGCTCTGGAGGCTTGGACGGCTCTTAGGGAGTTTAGGGTTTAGGGTTTAATATACGGCACCAGAATAAGGAAACCCTGGCAAATACGGTTTAGGGTTGAGAGTTTGGGCTCTTGGACTCCCTACCCAGCTTTCCCAAGTGCATCATTTGCACTACATTCCCGGCTCGTCGGAGCTAAGGGGCCGATGGTGACGCTTTCCGATCATCGACCGCTGGTCGTGGATTTTCGGATCTCCAGCTCCAAGCGCGATTGACTGCGGGAAAATGGCCGCACTACTCAGCACACCGCCGGGCGGGTTGTTCAGGACCAACTCATTCCGGGATGCTGACTCTTGTTTACGCAGAAGTTGGCCGCCATTTGCGTGGCTGTTTCGGGGAGTAAAGCCAGTTTCCTCTAAGATTTCGACGTTGGTGCCGGCACCCAGGCCGAACTCCTGACGCAGCGATGGAGCTTTCAATCAAACTGTTCCCTTGCACATCGGCAGAATACAGTTTCTACTGAACTTCCTTCCATCACGTCTCTGGCTGTCAGTGGGAGCCTCTCCGGGGCTGTTGAGAAACCCGAAGCTGCACTGAAGCGTATTATACGGTGAGCACCCCAAAACCAAAGCGCAGACAGCGATAGGAAGCAGGACTGAACTTGTCCGTGGTCAGGCTCTTGATGCCTTGCTGGGCATGGATGCTTTCCAGCAGAAAGACCTCGCCAAGGCTACGAGTGTGTTCTATGAATCACTATGTCACCAATGTGACCAAGCCGGCCAAAACTCCGTTGCAAGCATTCTGAAGTTCAGATGAGGTCCAAAACGATGGTTCACCATTTGAACGAGGCCGCAGTAATGTTAGCAGGGTTGCCATACATATACACATACATATTAGTATATAACATTCTGTTATTCGGCTGTACCCACCGGTCTGAACTCCAAGGACCCACTCTCCCGCACCATTCATGCAAGCAGGCCGGTGAGGAACTCGCCCACCCTACAAACTGTAGTCGAACGGCAGCGAGCAAGAAAGGCCGAAGCTTCGAAAGCCTGTGGAAGTGTAGGATGATCGGGCACTTGCACGCCCGCTGACTGCTGCCCTTTGCCTGTCGTTGCCTTCTTTTTCAGCTCGAAGTCCAGAGGGTCCTCTTCCCTGGAGCCGACCTTTCGCCATGAAAGGCGAGGAGCTTCCAAGGCCGCTGAAAGCGGCATTGGAGAGCCTGGCCTGCTTCCGCACGGAGCTCGCTTTGAGCCAGAGGCAGGTGCTGGCAAAGCTCGATTGTGAGCTGGAAAGGTTCCGGAGCCTGCAGCCCCCGACGCCCTCCCACGAGGCCGGACGAAGGCCAAATTGAGAATCACCGCCCTTTTTTCTCACGGGTGGTGACACCGTGCAAATCCCACCACGGGTCTTTCCGACAGGCACTGGGCCTACTGCAGCCACCTCCACCTCTGCGTGCTTCAGCGTCACAAAGGAGCAGTACCAGCTCGCCACCAGGACTGCTGTCTTTTGTGAGAAACAGTTCCTCAAGAGGCGGTGGATTGTAGGCCTTGAGTACACAGCAGAACTCGAAATGCATCTGTCTCGCATCGGGAGTTCACGGACACAGTTACTTGCAGTATTAAGAAAATGGGACGAATGAGTACAACAACATCCAGGGAGAAGCAAGGCGAATATGCTGACAATGACAATCTTTCCTTTCGCTGCAGTCAGAGACATCACCGCTCTGCAGTAGTAGAGGTAGTTGTCGGTTTTTATCGGAGCGGTCCCAGCACGTAGTTGAAGCAGTCGAATTTTAGGGGGTCGCCATACCCATAATCACCACTGAAACTAATCGAGGTAATGTAGGAGTCGTGGGAGTAGTAGTAGCGTCGTTGGTGGTATTTCGTGGCAGTGCTCGTCGTCGTCGTAGTGGTGGTGATCGTAGTACTGGTCCTGACCCTGGTGATGGCAGTCGCTGTCGTCGTAGTACAGCAGCAATAGTAGCTAGTAGTAGCAGCAGTACCTAGTATCAGCAGCAGCAGCGGCAGCAGCAGCCGTAGCAGTAGCAGTAGCCGTGGCAGGAGGAGGAGGAGGAGAAGGCGCAGGAGGAGGAGGTACTAGTAGCAGTAATCGTACTGCCAGTGGTGCTAGTACGAGCTGCAGTATTGTTAGTAGTAGCAGGAGAAGAAGTAAGTACAGTAGTAGTAGGAGTAGCAGTAGCCGCAGATGTAGCAGCAGCAGGAGTAGTAGTAGTCGTAGTACTAGGGTAGCAGCAGTAATTAGTAGCAGTAGCAGTAGCAGTAGCAGTAGGAGTAGGAGTAGGAGTCGTAGCTGTAGCCGTAGTCGTAGTCGTGGTCGTAGTCGTAGTCGTAGTCGTAGTAGTAGTAGTAGTAGTAGTAGTAGTAGTAGTAGTAGTAGTAGGAGTAGGAGTAGGAGTAGGAGTCGTGGGAGTAGCAGTAGTAGTAGTAGTAGTAGTAGTAGTAGTAGTACTAGTACTAGTACCAGTACTAGTACTAGTACTAGTACTAGTACTAGTACTAGTACTAGTACTAGTACTAGTACTAGTACTAGTACTAGTACTAGTAGTAGTACTAGTAGTAGTACTAGTAGTAGTACTAGTAGAAGTACTAGTAGTAGTCGTAGTAGTGGTAATGGTGGTATGGTGGTAGCATGAGGAGTTGTGGTAGAATTAGCAGCAGACGGAGGAGTAGTGGTAGACCTGCACACTAGAAGTAAAACCAGGAGTAAACATAGACTCACGATCTCTCCAGGCCTTTTCCTTCCGGGGTCCATCAGTGAGGGCGACGAGGAGCTCAGCTCGGACGACGAGGTGGGACCAGCGTACACTTGAGAATATCCCAGACCCCCAAAACGATCTAGAAAGTAGATCCCCTAGTTTGGGGCCCTATACTACTAAGGGTACTGTACAGGAACCCCCATTAAGGGATCTAGTTTTTGGATCCTCCCGAGGTCTGGGATAGACATGTCGTTTGCAGTACCGATGTTCTTGTGGGGTACAATGCAGCGAGGCGTTGATCTAGGACGACAGGAACGCCTGCACCAACATTGGAGTCATTTGAACTCGATGGTTCCGACAAGAAAACACATCATGCCCTATACCCCCTCAAGGCTTCCGATACGACTGGATGCACAACGCGTACTCGTAAGTCGAACAGCAGTCAAAGGGACATGATACCATCACAGGGGTTTTCGTATCCTAACGTCTACGTACTATGCGACCCAGAACACGAGAACGTCATGAAGCTCCAAACCGTCTCATCCTTGTTACGCTTGGAAGGGTTGAGA